GTATTTAGCCTTCATACAAACAAGAAATGTGAAATCACTGTCAAATAAACATCTCAGACTCTCCTTATTAATTATTAATATCTTCTAACATACCAGTCAAAAGTTCTTGAACAGTAAGATTTTTATTGTTTTTAAAGAAGTCGCTTCTGCTCACCAAGCCTGCATTTATTTGATCCAAAATACAGCAAAAACAGTAACATTTTGAAATAATTTTACTCTTTAGAAATAACTCTTTTCTATTTGGAAATATTTTAAAATGTAATTTATTCCTGTGATTTCTAAGCTATATTTTTAGCATCATTACTCCAGTCACATGATCCTTCAGAAATCATTCTAATATTCTGATGTGCTGCTCAAAAAACATTTATTATTATGATGCTGAAAACAGCGGAGTAGAATTTTTTCAGGTTTCTGTGATGGATAGCATTTATCTGAAATAGAAATCTTTTGTAACATTATAAATGTCTTTATCATCACTTTTGATCAATTTAAAGCATCGTTGCTAAATAAAAGTATTAATTTCTATAATTTCTTTCCAAAAAAAAAAGAAAGAAAGAAATCATACTGACTCCAAGCTTTTGAATGGTAGAGTGTATAATGTTACAAAAGCCTTTTATTTCAGATAAATGCTGATCTTTGGATCTTTCTGTATAAAGAATTATATCTCGATACATATTGATATTGAATTATTGTCCAGCCCTACCCACAACTTAATAAAAATAAGCATTTATAATCAATTAGAGAATTGATAGGCCTTTTATATAGAGCTATATAGGCTAAACCATGGAATTGCAGATGTTTTTCTTATTTTACTCCCACCGGACGGCACTAATCTGGCTTCGAAAATTACATTTTAAAGGCATTGACTCTATTTTAACATGAAATACTGCATTCTTTGAAAAGTAATATAAAAATGTTTTATTATTTTCAATGGGCAGAAATTGATCATAATTATTGCATAAATATTAATTAGTGCAATGAATTGATCTCAAAATACAAAATAAAAAATATTATTGAACAAAAATATAATACTTTGATTTGATATTCTTATATTTTACTATTTTCATCTTATTTTATTCGTTACTTATCTTAGTAACGAGCAGTATTTTCCAAATGTATGCTTATGCTAAAAGCATTAAGTTACAGTTAATTAATTACACATAATAATGTATTAATAATATTATAATATTTTTTACAGTAATGACAGTCACCATCGACAATATATATGTTCGTTGTGTTGTTTCGTAACTATTTAGCATTATTTTAATACTATTTTACTGTTATTTGATATAGTAATAAAAATGCATTTACCATTTAAATTGTAAAATATTTATACATTAAATTTTTTGCTGTTTTAAATAAAAGCATTACATTACAGAATTAATTAATTATTAATTTTACTGTATTTATACCAAAAAGGCTACTTGAAGTTTTATTTATACTTGTGTGTGTGTGTGTGTGTGTGTGTGTGTATGTGTGTATATATATATATATCTCTCTTAGGGCTGTCAGTTTAGCACATTACCTTAATTAATTATGAAAAATAACGCGATTAAAATATTTTAATTCAAGATATTGGTGCAAAAAATGCCCCTGTATGAGTTTTTGCCTCGTATTTATAATATTTTTTGCCTCGTAAGTTGATATTGTTATATTTTAAACACAATATTATGTTTTTGCTTAATTTTGCAGAAAACATATTACCTTTAAAGCCATATCAGACTTGTTACGCATCTGAGCGCATTTAGTTTCTGAATGAATCAGCGTTTTTAACGAATCGTGTGAACCAATGATTCAAAGCCCCGTTCATAAAGAGAGTCGTTTACTTCATTCCTGAATGAATCAGCCATTTGAACGAATCGAATGAATTAATGAATCATAAAGACATTTACTGCCACCTGCTGGAAACAGATTTAGTTTCTTATTTAGAGTATCATTTCATTAAAAAAATAATAATAAAAATAAAAACATTAAAGGGATCGTTTACCCAAAAAATTTAAATTAAAGTTTCAAAACTTTCTTTGTGGAATTTAAAAAGGTATTTTGAAGACTGTTTTGGTTAAGAATGACTTTCAGTGCATGAACAAAAACTACTCAGATGTTTCTCAAATTATCTTCTTTTATGTGCCATAGTTTATGTTAGGCCATTGCAGCCTGAATGTTTGTGTGCGTATGTTGAATCAAATAAAATATTTCTTTCTAAAGCTACAATTTGTAATTAATTAATCAATTAAAATCAATTTAAATTGCCGATTTAAAGATAATTAAATTGCAGTTACAATTATTATTATTTTTAAATACATCAATGAGTAACTGATGTAACATGTTGTGAGTTAAGTGCTCTGTTTCCGTCTCTCGTCAGGCTATAGTGGAGTACGCCTACACCGGAACCGTCTTCATCTCACAGGAAACAGTGGAGACTCTACTTCCTGCCGCCAACCTGCTGCAGGTCAAGCTGGTTCTGAAGGAGTGCTGCAGCTTCCTGGAGAGTCAGCTGGACGCGGGGAACTGCATCGGCATCTCGCGCTTCGCCGAGACCTACGGCTGCCACGAGCTGTGTTTATCCGCCTCCAAATTCATCTGCCAGCACTTCGAGGAGGTGTGCCAGACGGAGGAGTTCCTGGAGCTGACGCGCGCCGAGCTGGACGAGATCGTGTCCAACGACTGCCTGAACGTGCTGACGGAGGAGAGCGTGTTCTACGCGCTGGAGTCCTGGATCAAGTACGATCTGACGGAGCGGCAGCAGTATCTGGCGCAGCTCCTGCACTGTGTGCGGCTACCGCTGCTGAGCGTCAAGTTCCTGACGCGGCTCTACGAGGCTAATCACCTGATCCGAGACGACCACGCCTGCAAACACCTGCTCAACGAGGCGCTCAAGTACCACTTCATGCCCGAGCACCGGCTCTCCTACCAGACGGTGCTGTCCACACGGCCGCGCTGCGCTCCTAAAGTCCTGCTGGCCGTCGGAGGAAAGGCCGGGCTCTTCGCCACGCTGGAGAGGTGAACCAACACGCGTGATTACAGCTATAGTTAACTAAAAACATAAACATTTTGCTACTTTCAATATAAATATTAAATGGGCCCGTATTCACAAAACATTTGATCTTACCACTAAGAGTTCTCCTAAATAGCGGTAAAAGTTTTCAGCTAAGAGTTTTTTCTTGAAAGCTATTCACAAAGCTGCTGAGACAAACTTGTAGTAAGGAATAGAGAGAAGTCTTCAGCTCAGAGTAAGGGGCGGGGCTGAGCTCGTTGCTATGGGTGATGTCAGCATGCTTATTAACTATGCACACAGTGATTGGCTGATAGTCTGTCAGAGATTTATTCACGGACACTACGTCCATGTTTTTATACAGTCTAAGGTTACAGTGCAGCAGCGCATTAGATCAGAACGGCGATTAACTTACCTGTACAATAAGCTGTTTAAAACGTGCATTCTCCCGTTCAATTTCGAGCATCCAGTAATATAATCACACGTCTTGTGGAGTGCTTTCAGAGTATGCATTTATTTGTCATTTGAACTGTTTGGAAACGGAGCGTAAATGTGGAAGTCCTTCAAAGATTTCTTATCCTATTGCGCCCTCTATAGGACCAGCGACTAGTCAACGTCAAGCTTAAAGCGTCACGGCAGAGCATTGAAGTCGAGTAGTCGGTGCAACCCCTAGTGTGTGCTCTGTTCATGATGAGTGTGTGTGTGTGTGTCAGTATGGAGATGTACTTCCCGCAGACGGACTCGTGGATCGGTCTGGCTCCGCTCAGCGTGCCGCGCTATGAGTTCGGCGTGGCGGTTCTGGAGCAGAAGGTGTATGTAGTGGGAGGCATCGCGACACACATGCGGCAGGGCATCAGCTACCGGCGGCACGAGAGCAGCGTGGAGCGCTGGGACCCCGACAGCAACACCTGGGCGTCTGTGGAGCGCATGGCCGAGTGCAGGAGCACGCTGGGTGTGGTGGTGCTAGCGGGCGAGCTGTACGCTCTCGGCGGATACGACGGACAGTACTACCTGCAGTCAGTGGAGAAGTACGGGCCCAAGCTCAAGGAGTGGCAGCCGGTGGCACCGATGACCAAATCACGCAGCTGCTTCGCCACCGCCGCGCTCGACGGCATGATCTACGCCATCGGCGGATACGGCCCCGCCCACATGAACAGGTACGACCCGCCGCAGCAGTGCATTCTGGGAGGAGGCATGCTGGTCGGTGTTAATATTGTTAAATACAACTATTAAAGAACATGTATGTTAATTAAAATAAAATAATTGAGATTAGTGTTTTAAATCACTAGTGTTTTAGTGTTAAACTATTGTTGAGTTTTGCATTAACAAATGCCACTTTTTTTTTCAGGGAATATTAAATTACTAAAATTGCAAAAACTAATAAAAAAAACTAAAATACCAAACCTAATTTAAAAAAAAAAAGCATTACCATGAATCTGGCTACCAACGGTGATTAAATCTAAAGATTGGTTCGCTCATATCACGTACAAATTATTATTATTGTTATACTTTATTCTCAACTGATTAATGTTAACATCAGCATTGGTGACTATGAGTATAGTGTGTATAAGCGAGTAGATTTCAGTTTCTGCACAGTCTAATCTAATTATCATACTCTTCGAATTTCATATTAAGAAATTCCTTGAACCCAAAAAGCTAATTATGCTCTCTTCGAACTGGTTTTCTTTAAAATACCAATCTTTGTAATCTCAGGCTATCTGTAATCAGAAGCAGATTTATAACGGGAATATAATTTAATTTCATTCACATCAAAATGATGTTTAATTATTCCGGCTGCTGTGAGAAAAGGCTATAGACGATCCTCACATGTGATGGTCTAGCAGCCGGGACAGCTTCTGTGTTTCCAGACGTGACGTACCCGTCCCACGCAAGCTAGAAAACATTATTATAGCTAACCGCTGTGAATCAGCTAAAGTAAGGAGATGGTTTCTAACACTGGCTGCTTATGTGCTTGCTCAAATATTGATTTCAGATCAGTTTTAACCAAAACAAGTTACGGAATGCAGCTTTAAAAAATTAATAGTAAAATTAATAGTTTTAGTAAATATTTCAGTTTAGTTTGTTCAAGTATTAAAACTACTAAAACTGAAATAAAAATATTAAATATTTTATAGACAAAAATAAATAAACAAAATTACTAAAACTTTAACTAAAATAAAAAATGAAACAAAAACATTCAAAATATGAATAGGTACTGTAACACTATTTTAATGATGATAATAAAAAAAAACTGGTCAGTGAATCAGTCCAAAGCCTTGTTTCAAATAAAAACTACTGTATGACTTTAATAGTTAGCTTTATTTTTATAGTTTTAAGTAGATTTTTTTCCGCTTTATGCATTTCTGGTTTGAGTTTTGAGCATGTTGCAGTGAGTCTCTGTCTGAAGGCAGGGGACGGTTGGTTTCGTCTGATCCTCTGTGTTCTTCTCTCTTTGGGCTCATGGGACGCTCCTGATGTTGTGCTCGTGTCTCCATGAGCGTGTGGCTCTCCTGAGATGTGTTTCGCCTCTAAACGCGTGTCAAGAGTTCTGGGAAGAACAGGGGCCCATGGGCTGCTTATGTGCTTGCTCAAATATTGATTTCAGATCAGTTTTAACCAAAACAAGTTACGGAATGCAGCTTTAAAAAATTAATAGTAAAATTAATAGTTTTAGTAAATATTTCAGTTTAGTTTGTTCAAGTATTAAAACTACTAAAACTGAAATAAAAATATTAAATATTTTATAGACAAAAATAAATAAACAAAATTACTAAAACTTTAACTAAAATAAAAAATGAAACAAAAACATTCAAAATATGAATAGGTACTGTAACACTATTTTAATGATGATAATAAAAAAAACTGGTCAGTGAATCAGTCCAAAGCCTTGTTTCAAATAAAAACTACTGGTATGACTTTAATAGTTAGCTTTATTTTTATAGTTTTAAGTAGATTTTTTTCCGCTTTATGCATTTCTGGTTTGAGTTTGAGCATGTTTGCAGTGAGTCTCTGTCTGAAGGCAGGGGACGGTTGGTTTCGTCTGATCCTCTGTGTTCTTCTCTCTTTGGGCTCATGGGACGCTCCTGATGTTGTGCTCGTGTCTCCATGAGCGTGTGGCTCTCCTGAGATGTGTTTCGCCTCTAAACGCGTGTCAAGAGTTCTGGGAAGAACAGGGGCCCATGGGACGCTGCCAGGGATTCATGGGGCCAGCAGTTATTTGTCCAGTCTTTACTATGATTTCTCTGCTTATCTTGAGTTCTTCCAGCTCAACACTACACACATATCAGCAGTGTTTGAATAATTATGAGATCGGACTGATATTAGCTAATCAATGTTTTTTAAAGAGTTCTCTTCTGCTCAACAAGCCTGCATTTATTTGATCCAAAGTACGGCAAAAGCAGTAATATTGTGAAACATTGTTACTATTTAAACAGCTGTTTTCTGTGTGAATCTCTGTTAAACTGTAATGTATTTCTGTGATGCGCAGCTGTATTTTCAGCATCATTCCTCCAGTCTTCAGTGTCACATGATCTTCAGAAATCAGTATAATATGCTGATCTGCTGATTAAGAAACATTATTATTATTATTATGCTGAAAACAGCTTTTATTGTAGGTTTCTTTGACGAATAGAAAGTTCAGAAGAACAGCATTTATCTGAAATTATATTATAAATGTCTTTTGATCAATTTAATGCATCCTTGCTAAATAAAAGTGTTAATTTCTATAATTTCATAATTTAATAATAAATATATATTGATTATACTGACTCCAAGCTTTCGAATGGTATAGTGTATAATGTTACAAAAGCTTTAGATCTTTCTATTCATCAAAGAATCCTGAAAAAAAAATGTTTTCAACATTGATAATGTTTCTAATAATCAGCATATTATACTGATTTCTGAAGATCATGTGACACTGAAGACTGGAGGAATGATGCTGAAAATACAGCTGCACATCACAGGAATACATTACAGTTTAACAGAGATTCACACAGAAAACAGCGGTTTCACATTGTAATAATGTTTCAGTTTTTTTTACTTTATTTTTGCTCAAATAAATGCAGGCTTGATGAACCGAAGAGACTTCTTTAAAAAACATGAAACACGTGTGACTGCTGGTGTATGTGGGAGATCAGTGGTGTTAGTTAAATGGAGTATCACTAGTGCTGCTGCTTGACCCGGTCTGTCACTGAGGTCAGAGTTCATTGAGGATCGATGTGTGTTTCAGTGTGGAGAGATACGACCCCAGCAAAGACTCATGGGATATGGTGGCGCCGATGGCTGATAAGCGCATTAACTTCGGCGTGGGCGTGATGCTGGGCTTCATCTTCGTGGTGGGAGGACACAACGGGGTGTCTCATCTGTCCAGCATCGAGCGCTACGACCCGCAGCAGAACCAGTGGACGGCGTGTCGACCCATGAACGAGCCGCGCACCGGTGAGAGTCACATGACACTGATCACACCAGCAAACACATCACAGCAAAACAG